TGAGCTGCATAATCCTGAGGGAACAAATGGCGTATTAGTCTAATGCTAATCACCTGCGACTATGGGACCTCATTTCACAACGTTGCTCCACTGAACTGTAAATTAGACCTCTAGGTTAAAGATTCGGGGAGTGCTCTCTTAAGAAAACCACATTCTTCTGTTTTGGCACCTGGGTATTATCCTACTCTACACACAACCCAAACGTTGACAACAACTAGCAAAAATGTCCACTTGTTAATTCTCATACTCGCAAATCATACTCACAGCTATGTGTTAGTAACTGTTTTTATTTTACATAGTATCACGTATCTACCCCTTCATTCCCGTTTTGTATATCCACCTATTTTTTAATTTCTACAGTATCATACCTATGGTAGAAATCCTGTCCTATATAATCAATCTGAAGTCACTATCTAGTTAAAAGTTGAATGCTACCACTGAATACGAATTCTGAAGCAGCCTTTCTGAAACCAGGCATCTCATTCAAACAGGCTTCCTTCAACGTTGGTACACTAATACAGACCGGACAACATATAGGGTTGGCAATATCGTTAGAAAGTCTTGATATTAGTATCTGTTGCCTGTCTGAGACCCGTATTCAAGGCTCTAGTGAAGTACTACAAGTTCGCTCTCCATCTGTTGCCCGAAAAAACTTGTTTCACGTGCGTTTTTCCGGGGACCCAGTGACAAATCTGGTTTTGCCGGCGTCGATGTCACTATAAGAATTAGAGCTGATCAGATTCTTATCTATATGTTGTTAGACTAGAAATCTCCACCAAAGTGAGAGGGACTCGATATGAGAAACAACGACTTTTCGTCATATCTATATACGCCACGTCAGATTGTAGCCTGAATGCGATCAAGGACGAGTTCTACCATCACTTAAATAATCTTCAGGAAGTGCGTTATACAGATATTGTAGCACTAGCCAGAGACTTTGATACTCAGGTTCGGCGGTTAGGCACATAACACAGTTGTTTAAGTGGTTGATACGGATTTTTGGTGGCAGGTTAGATAACAGTGATCGTCTACTGCGACTGTGCGAGGACTACAACCTGTTTCTGACGTGTACTAACTACCGGTACAGTTATCGACAATGTACAGCATGGCATCCTCCCTCTGCATCTTAAACCTGGATTCAGATTGATCACGTTTAAATCAACTGCCGCTGGAATGGTTGAGTACAAGACTGCCACTACCTTTGTGGTACGTATTTGGACTCTGATCGTATCCTCGTCTGCGCTACTAGTATTTTATGCTTTAGTGACCAACAAATTCATCTTCCTAAACGGATCGATGCCATCAAATTGTTTTCAGCTTATCTTGCAACTAAATATCAAACAGAGATAGGTTCAAGACTAGCTATCAATGCATCAAAACTTATAAATGAACATTAGCTGCAACAGTATGACGACATAAGATAGCAAGTGAAATCGCTTAAGACTTAGCGGAAAGGCTGGGTTATGAGCACTTAATCCGTCGAAGATCGATGTCCGTAAGTATTGCATGTGCTTTTCATCTTCCAATTAAAAAGTAATTTTACAAGAATGGCAAGACAAGGAACTTGGACTCACCTTGGTTACTGTTAGAAGTGGTCAAGAAGTTCATATTTCTGAGGGGCTGCATAAGTTCCAGTGGTAGGGTAAAAGCTAGAGTAGCTTGTGCTAATCTGGGACATTTACGGAACCGTCTAGATGTTGGCCTAGCTAAAAAAGGTTGGTTGGACCGGTTTTGTCTTATGCTTGTGAAACCTGATCTCTCCGAGTTCAGGATGTTAGATGACTCTCTGTGTTTGATTATCGTTGTCTCCAAAGGATCGCTAACATTCAGTGGCAACATCATGTTTGTAATGCAGAGACTCGGCTACGCATGTTTTGACACATTGACGATAATTCAATTGGTTTCACCATCATGATACACCGATTTCGGTGGCTTGGACATGTCTTACGAATGTCGCCCCATATCCTGTACTATTTTCCGACATTGAGATCGGTTGGAAAAAGAAGAGAGTTGGTCTGTGTAAGTCATGGTGTCGAGGTGTGAGTGATATGCAGGACTGGTTCCTGTTGGTCCTTCACGACTCCCTGGTTGAGTTCATAGAGATGGTACAAAATAGTGGGTTGAGACATTTTCAGACATAGCTCAGAATAAAAGCCAATGGCGATACTGCTGTAACTTTCTTATACTTTCTTCATAAAAGCGAGAGTAATTTCATTAACTGAGAGAATTCTTTTATTATTACTCTTCTTTTATCACATTCACCCTCTCTTCCCTATTTCTTCACAACCTTGTGGTTATTGTGTGGCGCATATATATTTTGGTGCCTACTTCTACCAATGTTTCTGTATTCAAGTGAACAATGAACAATAAAATAAATGTTCTTCACAAATGCATCATTTAAATCACGATAACTCTAATCCCATTTGAATAAACAATTTGCACTAAAATCAAGCGATTTCACTTTATTAAATCCTCACTTAATCCATTTAAATCTACTTAGGTCAAGCAAATTTACGAGTAAGCCTTATGAAAGATGGCCATGTGTTTACTATTCATAAAATTGATGGTCCACCGGAACCGAATATTCCATATGAACATCCTAATGAAATGAAATTAAATGATCAAGAAAATGAGGTAACATTTAATTGCAATTAGATGATATTATTGTTAGAAATGATATGTAACACGTTTTACAAGATTTAACGTTACATATTACAACATCTTTATTCTTAAAAATACAATTGGTGTTCAACTATTCTTAAATCAAAGAAAATAATGTTGGGCAGTGTTTAGTGGTATAATAATTGCTACTCAAACACCAAATATGAATATAATCATTTTTAACACTTTCAGGAATACATCATGAATAACTGTTTTGAAATTTAAAATCATATAATCGTCAGCTTTTAGTATTTCATCAAACTTATTCTATCATAATGGTCATATAGAAACAAATGCAAAGATTTTGATTATTGAAATAAAAATTAAATAATATTAAGCATGATAAATGCGTTCAAAGATAACAAATAGAAGTATTCAGCAATACAAATGAAGACAATAATGGAGTGTATTTTAAGTGTTGCAATAGAATCCATATGAAATCACCAGCAAAGATTTTTAGCCAAATGAAAATGTTTACATACAAGTACCTATAATTTTCTTGGTTTTGTTTTTGATGAAAAGATGTCTTTCCAGTTCGGCGGTTTCAAACCGATAATGGACAATGTTTATTGATAATTTACGTTGAGATTAGTGTCATATATATTTAGTAAAGATCTTCAACTAACAGATTTAACCTAATGAAAATTCATATGGAAGACTACCAACCAAATAACATGATGGTTACATTGGATTCTGAACTAATAATTAAGTTATATCTTTTTTGTTGGGAAACTTGAAAGCTTTCAATTCCCTTACTAAATATTACGAGCAGAGCTCTAAGAAACTGAAAACATTGATCAGATAACTGCTTATTGATCACTTGCCTTTGATAGTTTCTCGGCTGATGTCGAGCCAACGTGTACACTGTGTTGAAAAGAGATGTTTGTACTATTTGGAAACTGATGCCGATCGCTCTGTCTCATTATAATTTGAAGTGCATCTACACGAAAAATTCGGTCGAAACTTTAAAGTCACTATTAAATTGCTGATAATTCATCAATCAATAATGTGACAAGATTTCACCTTGTGTAATATAGATTTTAATAATTGAATTCATGAGTCGATCAAAGTTAAATCATCATTGAAAACCTGGAAGCACTGGACGGTCGTGTCGTCCTAGTCTAGGACGTCTTAGCAGTGCGCATCCATGACTTGTGTCGGGTAGAGACAGGTATCTACGTCAGACAATGAATGGTTGCGCAAGATCATGGATCGGTTGTAGTTAGACAATATCACCGTTGGATACTGGCTCCGTGGTCAATAGGTTAAACATCCACATACGAGACCGAAGGTCCTAGGCTCGAGTCCTGCGTGCGAGATCGTGGATGCGCACTCCTGAGAAGTCACATAATAAGAAGAAACGGCCGTCTAATGTTTCCAGGTTTCTAATTGTGGTCCAACTCAGATCGACTAATGAGTTCAACTATTGAATAACTATAATCTCCACAAACTCCCATTCTGATAACAATATAGATTTGTTTATATCATAAAGTAAACTTTCAGTATCATGTTAAATTAAGTGTAAAATTTTGTGATTTTGTACAGGAGGGATGTGATGGCTTAAAAACGTTTACATCACCAGAATTATTCAGTTCGATTACAGCTTGTTTTTCTGATGGCATCTGTTTGGCTGTGTCTAGAGTGAACAAAATTGATCCAGTATGTAATATTTTCTCAATTATTTTACACATTTCATTTAGTTTATCTGATACTTCATACATCCACTTAAAAGTAGAGTTTCATAGATCATCAGTATTATTGCGGTGTACAAGAAAACAAGTGCTGGACAACTAGATTACAGAATCTCTTGCTAAAATCTAAGAACCATACGTTAATACTTCATTTGCAAAATATCCAAAAGTTGTCTTAGACCTTTTTATATCTTCATTTTACTACCAATTACTCTCTGTTCTCGTTCTTTTCTTTTCGATTTCCTCAACCTTCTGCTGCCATGTTACCCCCTTTTGATTGGTGGTACATACTGTCGACATCAGTAGCACACATCAAAATATATCTTTCAACTTGATCACCTGTTTATTCAAACTTACTGATGAGAAACATTTCTGAAATTCATATTAATTACATCGTTTTCAATAGTTTACTAAATGTTTTAGGCTCTAATAGCCAGTGTTTGTGTTTTTTCATGGTTAGAATTCTATAAGTTGAAAAAATATGAACTTCGATTTGAATTTCAACATATCAGTGTAAAAACAACTTTTGTCCTCACGAAAAATGGAAAGAAAATTCACGATGTATTAAATGTAATGAAATGTTTTTGAAATTTTCATATATTCTGACCAGTAAATATGATACTACTGTCATCAGTAAATCTCAAATTATTATACTTTGGATATCTAAATTCTGTGGTTATTAGTACATATACTTGTCTTAAATAGTATATGATTAAATAAATAATTGAGAATTCCTGTGTTATTCAAAGCTTATTCAAGTTTGTATGCTTTCTTAGGTTGAGATCTAACGATGGATTAGTTCATTTTGATAAAAAAAATAGCTAGTAATAAATATTGAATACGATACATCAAGAACTTAACTTCATTACATTTTTACATATTGAAAACTAATTGATAAAATGTTCTCAGTAATCCAAACCAGATTAAAAGAAATCAATAATTAATTAGTTAAAACTCCCATTCCTTCTCTTTTTCATATATTATGCAACGAAGTAACTTCTTGATTTTCGAATAATTACTTTGATCATTATTAATCTTCATTCTTCCAATTACTCAATGTTAATTTATAATCAAAATGTAATTATGTAATTATTACGTATATATTAGTGTAGAGCCATAATGAAGAAATAATTGAAAAGAAATTTCTTTGCTTTATTCATTCCTTCTTTAATTAATTAGTTCTTTGATAATATATTGATCGGTCAACTGCTTGACAAACTTTCCGAGCTTATTTTTGCATTGAATGTTATGACGTGTATGCAAGTATAAGGGTGAAAAGATTACTTAACGCCTCAAACAGATCGGTATCTGATACTTACAGAAGTAACCAATTTACTGAAGGTTTATCAGATCCCTTCATTTAAACTGAATCTCAAGGTCAGAAAATTCATATATGTATGAGGCTTGAACTACTTATATAAATCACCGATTAGCCATTGAATAAAGTGTAACCTGTCTGATTATTACTTTTATCCAAACCTTATTCTATACGAAATAAAATGTAAATTTGGTGTTGTATTTTGACCGTGATGTAATCAGCTCACAATTCTCTTCCAATAAATTACTTTTTCTCATGCCCATCCCAAGTATTATATTATTATCGTCTTAGATCAGTATTAGTTATCCTTACCTCTATAACGATATGTTTACTCTGAATTCTAACTTGCCCAGATAAACAATTATACTTGACTAGCTGTTAAACAATCTTAGGTAAGGCAGTGTATTTCCTCTAAAATCTTAAACATTCAACATTTATATCTACCCTCCACATGAGAAGTAAAAGAAATAAGGAACGTGTTATAGAACATAATGCTTTAAATTACTGTCATTCGGAAAAAATGCAAATCGTATGATGAAGTATCTGCGGACTGATTTGAAATATACAAATGTTTCCAAGGTCATCAATGCTTTGTTAAATAACACATGATGGATGACAATTGTTATTTATTATTTATTTGAACACATAAATATTGGTACAAATCGGCACCGAATACAAAAGCGCTACACAACTCACTTGATTTGTATATGGGCTGAGATACTGTCCGGCTGCCCAGACCGAGGCAGGAGGTTTTCTTAGGGGGCCACACTCGGGGCCTTCGACCTAAATGTCTGGTCCACAAGGCAGTGGAGCAACGTAAGGAGATGCAGTCTTATAAAAGTCGGTGACCAACGATTGGTTCATGTGCGATTTGTTCCTTCAGGATCCTGAAGCCTGTAGTGTCGGTTATTATGTTAAGCCCATATACCTTATTCTAGCTTTCGGAAAGCCCATTCTATTCATTCTACTTGAGTCACATTTTGACCTTGTTATTTATTCGCTTATAAATCTTGACTGTTTTTATATGAGCGCGTAGGTGAGTGTACATTTTTTATCCCATTACTCATCACATGTCTGTAACTTATTTTTGTGTAACTATAAATATCGATTAACGCTTGGTTAAAGGGGAGTCGGCTAACCAGCCATGTCCACTCTGCGTCATTTCTCTTCTCTCTATGCCATTCGCTCTATATACGAAATATATATATTCAAAAGTTCATTCTCGTTATTTGACTTATGTAATTCCGCCATTGACTAACGTGATTTAAGTCGATGATTATATATGAGGATAGGCAACATATATATTTCAATAACAATCATTCATACGATCGAATTAAAGTCAGAACTCGGGCCACTAAAGTGGAAAGCCCTTTCGACAACATCGTTTGATCTAAATGACGATAAAATTAAGGGCTCTACTAAAAGCCCATGTACACCACTGGCTTGGAACTAGGGTTTTCCAAATTCATTAGGTGGACCCTCCGTGTCCACTAAACCGGTTGAAGGGCTGGACATTCGCTTTTCGTCCTCTCAGTTTCGTAAACAACATCCCCGCCGTGAAGAAGCAGTGAGTAGGACTTAAATCGTAGTGTCCGCATAGGCATGGCCATGTGAGAGCCTTTCGACAGGGAAAGCTCAATCTCCCCACCCTCGGCTATACCAGGGCATTTGAGGGTAATATCTTTTAATACTAGCTAAGTCGTGATCCGCTGGTGAATTAACTATTATAGATACTGTTCATAAATTTCATGCTTACTGATAAGAAATTCCAAAGATATTTGTATTCCTACCGTAATCAATATCAAGAACGCTTGGGATAAAATATCCGAATGCCGCTCTGAAATGTGAAGTTTTATTTTTAAATAAACTGCGGTGAACGAGAACACAAGAGCGGACAATCGAATACATTTGAACACAAAATTACAGAACGCCCTAGTAAGATCTGAGATCCATACAGTAAATACTTCTTCTGCAGTGTTCATTAATAATCTTAGACTTCATTGTTCCTGCATTTTCATACTAAATGCTTTCTGTTCCCTTTCTTTCCTCCTCGACTTTCTGCTGCCAGACATTCTCTTCCTGATTAACGTTATACACTACTTATGTTAACATAAATAGCACACGCCACAGTGCCATTAAATGTAACATAAGGCTAAATGAATCTATGTAAGCATATCTAAAGCTTATTTTTTGAAATCGTTTTTATGTCTCGAAGACCACTAGTTATTAGATTTGTCTTCTTTTATAGCAACCTAATCCGAATTATCAAATAGAATCTAATCAACTGAATAAATTTAGCAAAAATAGTGATAGTGATAATAACAATGACTGCCGAATCAGGCCAAATTCTGTCAATTTGAATGATAACAGTGAAACTACACAAAATAAACCATTTCAACATTCCATACATCTCTCCACACCTGACGGTGCACAAGTAGCTGTTTATCATTGTGTCAGTAAGTCAATTTGTGCTAGTTTTGTCGTCAATACATAATTATTTACATTCTGAATAGTGTACTAAGCATAATATCGAGAACATTTTTCACAAGAAGTTCAATAATGCATGAAGAAAGACGAAATATGAACACACAGCACTAATATTGTTTAAAGTATGATTAGTATGAACTGTAGGTCATTTATAATCAGTGTATCGTATAAAGTCGTGTAACAAGCAGTCATATTCACAATGTATTTATGAATTCAGCACGTTTTCCTGAAATGTGAAACTGATAAATTCAAGAAAAAATATCACATTCAAGTTTAAACCGTGTAAATTGACGTGTTTTGTATGACTAAACTACAATTCATACCTACAGTAGGAAGATATTTATCATCTACAGTCTTAAAAGAACTGGTTCTCTCCATGGGATTTGAACGTTATCAGTGAGATTTCGAGGCCACGACTGGCCTTTGGTAGGGGTGATGTATCTGTAGTTACTACCATGTAGTATCCAATATCATGTTTGTCCATTCCCTGGTGATGATCGAATCATCTCACTTAATGAAGCGCGTTAGCGTAAATTAGAATCCTACAGGGAACATCGTTTCCTTCAATATTGTATGTATACCTTTTTAGTAAGGGCTAACTAACAAGAAGCCTAAGTCTAGGGTTTTCTGCCAACTGTACCCAACCATCTAACATTAAAACATAGTATACGCGACGTAAAATCAACTAGGCTAGTAGCAACATTGCAATTTGAATAAAACTAAGGACTAGACTAACATGGTATCGATTACTACTAATTGGTCAAACATTACAAAAATAAAAATTTACCAGACAAATTGGTGTCTTCCTTCCAAGTTGTTTCGTTTTAAAATAAAGTGGAAATTTTAAACCATTATTGTTGTATTGAAACTGACTAGCAGTAAATCTAAAATTTGTTTAGGTTTCATATAATCAATCAAACACAAATATTTTCGAAATCATGAAGTAGATGTAGTTAACATTTGTTTTACGCCACTGATAGTTATTCGGATGTGATGAAATTCACATGTTCACCTATTACTTTTCTACTGTAATACGGTTTCAGTTGGTAAGTAAACTATTTGAATGCATTACAGAATGTGATGTTAAACTACTGATAAGCCGAATAATTTATCCATGTATAGATCAAATATGCTACTAGAATATAAATACGAAAACATTATAAAGACATGTTAATTGTTTTATAGAGGTAGTGTATTAAAATGCTTAAATGTCGATCCAATATTAAATAACATGCCAATTTGCATTATAAAACTAGAAGTTTTGAAACCTAACCATTTTAATACTTAAAAGATTATAATCATTTTAACAGAATATTTAAGTAAAGATGAAAAGTAGCTGGTCATAGGATCTAGGAAGGATGTTTGCTCATATTTGGAACTCGTCAGTTGAATTCCACCGCTAGCTGTCATCCATTATGTACATATACCAAAAAGAGAGTGATCAGAATTCAATGAAAAGATTCATACTTAATTTTAACGAATATTTTAGTGATATTTAATTAGCTTGAATTTTTCATCCTGATAATTTATCAAATATATGTCAATGACATGGAAAATGATAACTTTCAGTCATTTGATAGATTTGTCTAAATGATTGTAGATAATCGAAAGATTTTCCACGTAATCTTCTCTTCCATATAATGTTTCATCTTCTCAAACTACATCCGCAACGGTTATTCGATTTAAATTACTACTAACAAGTAAAATTTTGAACAACATTGATTTACTTATGTACGATTATAAAAGTTTCTGAATGACAATTCGCTATCCACTTTCAGTCCTAGTTAGGATTTATCAATCAATGTTTTGAAGACATTTATCTAATTTAAAAACTATTGATGAATAGCGTGTGTATACAAACGTTTATAAATATCGAAATATTGTTTCTTCGAGATAAAATAATGTTTCATGCATTTGTTTATTCAGAAAATATTCACCTTTTCTTTAACATGACGTAGTCTAAATGTCATACTTTTATTCATGATAATAAGAAAATCATTTGCACATAGTTAGCCAACTATGAAATTAGATTGGGTGTACCTAAATATTGAATATCTTCGTTTTATGTTAGTTTGATGGGAGTTGAAAGCAAGTGAAAAGCGAATTGAAATATTATATTCTGACATCAAAGTAGTAGTAATGTAACAGGACGGTTAGAAGGGTCAATGTGAAGGTTTACATATTGATCAAATACTATATAGCCTTTAACTTTGTTTGGATACACAACTGAATTCGTTTCCTAAATACTGTCGAACAGCAGTTATTTTCAAAATTGTTTCATTTGATGTAACATTATATTACTTTAGATGAAGTTTCAAATCGTGCGATTGATGAGTGTGCAGAAGAAAATATCCCTTCAAAAGAAGCATTAATTAATCCAGAAAGTAAATGTCAAACAAACGATGGGCAAAATAATGTACTTTTAAACTCACAACATAGTATATTATTGAAGTTATCGTCAGCTAGAACTTGTATCAATGATAGTATCAACATCGATGACTTGAAAAAAAGGTCTGATAAAGAATACGAAGTTACACGATTTATCACATCCGACGGTATAGTGATACAAATTTTAATGCCCAGTTGCACATCATCTGCCTTATGCGCTATCAGGGTCAGTGAAAATTATTTTCTATTTTATAAATTTATATGACCATAATGTATTATAGCAACGCATTTTAAGCATTATTTGTATAGATATGAGATTTTAAGGATTTAATCAGTGCCATGTAGTGCCACAAAATATCTAATATCTATGTGTCTCTTATAGTGTGGAAATTGCAGTTAGAGTGAGCTGAATTAAAGGTTGCAAATATTCACCATTTAATGTCTTTATTGAAATGGAATACTATTTAGTCATATTAAAGTTCAAACACTGTCATCCTAGTACTACTAAATGTTCAGAAATACGTCATATCAGCAGTCAAATACACATGAAGCTGACCTTAAACATCTCTGAGTTATCTAAAAGTGCCATCCAGTCTTACAGTTGGTACATTGAACTGATCGTATTTAGTCAAACTAACTGTATCAAAATTATTACACTGGTACAGTCAAGCACCGTCGACTCGGATACTTGGAAAAGAATTTTATAGTTTTATTGTCAGTTTAAACCATATTAGGATCATTTTGATCTGTTTTTATAAATAAATTATTATTATGTATATTAGCTCAGGATTTACAAAGCAACTAAAAATAACTATAGATTTAGCTTAATCTAAATCCGGCATTACCAGACCCTACTCATCCATAATATTTCAGACATTTTATGTAATCATAATTCTTTAAGTTCATTTGAGACGACTTGGTCAGATTAAAATAAATCTGCACAACGAAAAGTTAGATGTTAAAAAAGAGATTTACTTCTTAGTTTATTGCCTTGCCTAAAACCAAACAAGTAATGATCTCTGAACGAAACAGTTATGAAATTCTAATATCCTAATGTTTATTTCTATGAGAGTTATAATGAAGTAATATGTTCCTGTTATTATGACTATTCCTTGATTACGTGTAATATGTTGTTCTATGGACAGACTAGTTTCCTTTAAATTCATGGTTCCAGTTTGTATTGTAACAAAGCAACATTTAATATCAAGTACCTAAATTATTTGTATTTCTATTTTGTTTACAAATTATCTGAATATCATTGTTTATCAAAAGTTTTTTCAATACACATTCTGTGTATTCATGATTTGTTAACAGTCATCATTTTTAAAACATGAACTAAAATTGTAGATTCTTTACCCTGACGGAGCAATTATAGAGCGTGGAACAACAGTTGCCGAAGAATTAAGGAGAAATGAAAATCCGCAATTTACATTGAGTAATCCACAAGAAGAAAAACAACAAGAAATTAATATTCAGTCGGAACCAGCAATGCCAAGTGCACTCCAAGTAATTAATATACAACCAAGAAAATCATCATATAAGAGGAAAAGTTCCAGGAAAAAAATTGAAGAGAAAAAAAGTAAATTATCCAATTTTATTTAAGCGTTTTTGTTATTAACAGTAAATATTTTAAAAATAAATTATTTCTCTAGTTTTATTATTGGCAAAGCAAAGGCAGCAGTCCTACAGTTGAAAAACATATGGAACTCAAAACAGCTTTCAACCAATATCAAAGTCAGATTCTTCAACACGAACGTAAAAATAGTCCTACTATACGGAGCTGAAACGTAAAGGACAATCACAACCATCATCAAGAAGGTACAAGTATTCATAGACAGTCCTTTACGCATGATACTCAATATGAGTCGGCCGGTTTAGGGGCCCGTGGTTCTCGACTCCCATTTTGAGCGTACGGATAATTGTATTGTATGGATGTTTGCTATCACCTATTCTCGTATATCATCGTCGACTTAAATCGCGTTAGTCCATAACGGAATTAAATAAGTCAATTAACGAGAATGGCATTTGAATACATATATTTTGTATGTAAAGTGAATGCGATAGAACAAAATGAAATGACGAGCAGGGAAGATGGCTGGGAAGCCAACTCCATTTTAGTCAAGAGTTATTCAATATTTATAGTCAGACAAAATAAAGCTACAGACATGTGATTAATGCGATAAGAAGGGCACACACATATACGCTCATATAAAAACAGTCTAGATTGATAAGCGAATAATTGACAAGGTCAAAGTGTGGCTCGAGTAGAATGAATAAAATGGGATGTCCGGAAGCTAGAATAAGGTATATGGGCTTGGCATAATGACCAACACTACACCGGAAACCATCAGCAAGAGCCTACTGTAAGGGAGAACAAACCAGCTTCTAGCTGAGGAGGAAATTAGCAAAAGACTCTGGACGTGGATAGGACATACATTACGGAAACCAGTAAACTGTATCATGAGGCAAGCACTAACTTGGAATTTTGAAGGAATATGGAAAGGAGGAAGGCTGAAGAACACACTGAGTAGGGAATCGGAAGCAGGCATGAAAAGGATGAATAGTTACTAGAAAGAACTGGAAAGGATTACTCAGGGCAGGGTTGGATGGAGAATGCTGGTGGGCGGCCTATGCTTCTTCACTAGGGGCTACAGGAATAAGTAAGCATTACCGATTAAAGACTTCAAAATTTAAATCAACCAGGAAAGTGATAATATTGATGCAAGTATTTTACATACTAAAGATGATATTAATGGTCAAGTTTATTTAATATACAAAGTAAATAAAAACATTTGATAATGATTACGGAATTACCATTGAACCTTTATTATAATTAACTATCGATGACTTGTAGGGAAGTAGAAATCACAGTCATTGTTAACCGTATACTAAACACCTCACTCATTAGAAATAGAGTACTTTTAAATGACTTGTTATTTGCTAACAATATATTTCTTTGACTATTCACACCCTATTTTATTCGAAATTCCGAGAAATCACTTTAAATAGTTAACAGTTAGAACAACAAAGTGTAAAAACGAACGAAATAGTTTAAAAATGATTGACTCAATTCTATGGAGAAGAAATAAGAAACTCCACCTAAGAACGATGAAGCAAATGTCGTACTTCCGTTGTATGCAATCTTAGGTAATATCTGTCATCAAATTTATAGCTTTTCATGTCTTAAGCTGACAAGCAGTTGATTCATGAACTACTTCAATTTTCCTTGATATTATCAGTCTCAGTTTTCAAGTCTAACGTAGCATTTAACATCTTTTTTACTTGCCTAGTAAACCTACTAAGATGAAACAAACACATTAAGTCACTAGGATGTTGACGAATGTGATGAATGATTCATCTGTTTTATACTTTTTACATCCACCATGAAAATTTACATTAGTTTTTAATGAAATTGTAAAAAAGAGAAACAAAAGTTCTTGCAGAAATGGCACATGTTTGTTTACACACATTTTGGATTGGACTGATTTATCAATGTCCAACAATTAATGTCATATATGCTCATCAGTCTATACTGATCAATTTATAATGCACCCAATATTCTACGTGATAATACATTTTGTTTGGAATTATTAGATGAGAGACAGTCGCTTTGAAAATTAAGTACTAGGTAATTTTGAATGAAATCTGACTGAAATTAACAGTCCCATCAAGATTGCAGAAACACCATGGCAACAGCTGCTAATAATTACAAGCATAGGTTCAGAACTTCTGACTTTTAATAATAAAACACTCAAAACTATGTAATCACTTTTCTTTGTAGTTTCGAATACATGATCATGTCATACACTATCAATAAGTGTCCGATTCAAGTTTATATATATTGTACATACATACTAATAATACCTTCTGTCATTCTACCCGTGAGCACACATAAACAGATAGAAATAATATAGGAAAACAGAATAACAATATATAAATCATTTGAAATAACATCTAAATCTTTTGCACAAAGTTATTTATAGCAAGTGAATCTAACATTATTCGCTTTTGTAAACAAGAACATCTGATAATTGATGACAAATTACTACAAGTTCTTTTTTTATTGTTTTATGCGCAAAGTGTTAATGACAGATAACAGGTTCAAACTACAATTTGTGTTTGTAGTAAAGAGTACAAGTTTTAGGGCTATTTATATCAATGAAAGCGGATAACATTCAAAAAAGTTTTTTTTTCTTGAAAAATTGATGCTGACCCCGTCTGTTCTTATTTTTATTTTGAAGACGTTTGTAAACTCTCTTGAAAAATTTATTGCTCTACATCAGACTAGATTGATATGGAAAGCCTTGACGAGTTTGACTCCATTGAGGCTGTAAAGTTTATCTATCAGTCATATGAAATGAATTGACATCTCGTATGTGATAAGATTCATTTAAAGCTTTTTGAATTGATAAAAAGACTGGGATAATTTTAGAAAGTTAATCGAAAAACAAAATGAATAAATTCAGGTAAAACAACTTTCCGAAACAATTAGCTTATAGATAGCAGTGTAAATATGTAATTATGACTGAATTCTTTTCAGCCGAAGACGATGCTCATAATGAGACATGCCTAGTTTCTACTGACATCGCAACCGCTTTGACTCCATCCAGTACACCGAGATCAACAACTAATGATTCAGACGATAATTTACCTTGGTTAATTACCCTTCTGTCTGGCGAGCGGTTTTGGTTCAAGTTAATCAAACCACTTACAAATATCGGTAGTTCAGTTGAAGATACTCCAACAACAAATGCGTCAGATAGTGTATCACATGAGTCAGTGAACTTAGATACTCTAAGTTCTAAACGCTTAAATGATGCAGTGAAATATGAAACATATCCGAGTAAACCAATGGAATCGTTCCGAGCCTATGATCCAGCCACTGGAGAAACATTATATACACGGCCTGAAGACAATTTAATTGCTGTTGAACCTCATCCAGATAGTCCATTCAAGTTGATAGTACAACATGCAGATGGTACACGATTAACGCAAATCTTACTGGTATGTTAATGTTTCATTGTTGAGTAATTGCTTTATTCTATTTTAAAGCTAGCGTAATTATAACATTTTGAATTAAGGTAACTTTTATTAATCAAATAAACACTACCTAAGATAGGCAATATAGGGCATAACATATCAAAACCATGTCACACAATTTAATCAGATGTTGAAACGTTTACTGTATTTATAATTACGTATATGGTATATACCGAATCGAATATTGAAAGCCTAAAATTAAGTACGGTATTATTGTTTAATCTACATAGTTCAGAGTTTACTTTTATCAGTGACGTTCCTGAAACTAATTTTAATTTTCGATTCTGATCTTTATTATCGTCATAAGCTATGATTAACAGATTAGAAATGTATTGTTTCAATAAGGACGCAGAGAAATAAAGATTTTCAGCCTGATCATCACTAACATTCGGTCCCTATGTAACAGTTTATAAATTTCGTATAAATGGACGAACAGAAGCTTCATTAATCAAGCTCTACCATATAAGATTTTTTTTCATATTATGTGTACTCCAGTAATTGTCAAGACCCAATTCTTTCATTTATCATTTTTAAGATTCATATTTGCTATTGTCTTAACAGTGAACAATTTTTCTCCGCATTCATTTCGTATTCAGTAATTACATCTGAATTATTCATTTATGTTACATGGTTGAAGTATGATACTTTTATATTCCATGACAAAATATATTTTCACGTAGTCATCAGTTAGAAAGGTCTCGTTTATTTTATATACATCATGTTTTAATAGAATATCAATTAATAATAGGAATATTAATTACGGGTGATTGTTTTACTTTTTCTTACTTTCATTCCAATTCTAGTATGACAACTAAACCTGAGTATGTCATGAGTTGATCATTTCAAAGTAACTTGTTTTTTCAATCCATAAACTCTACTGTACTGATTCATCATGTCAATTCTGTTTTGATTGTTTGTGTGCTGTGATTATTGTAAAAAATTCAGTTAGTTGTGGATAGACTAAAAACTAATTGACCTAACTGTAATGATTAATTTATTCATCGGTAGTTAGGCAAACTTTGTATCTGTTTAATCTTATATGGTATATCTTTTCACGCAGAATTATTTTTCTATAATTAACGTTTTATTTTATGATTTGTGGTAGTGAACATTACAATCAGAATTGTTACGTTTTTCAATTTATTTAAATGTAACTGTCTTTGTTGGAATCAAAAACATTCTATTTTTCGGAAAGCAGTCATTTCCGCGCAAAATGATTTCAATTTAACAAGTTTAACCAAGTTGAAAAAGGACGTTTATTTCATGAATTAATATCAATCAAAGCGTAATTGTTAATTACGGAAGACTTCATAATATTCTTCATCTTTAAATGTACCTCAGTTTATAAAATGAAATGAATGCATATGGACACAATTAACATCCCGTATTCTGACTCAATGATTCTACGGTTATTTGTTCATCTTAATAGTCTAGAGGTGTTTAGGACTATAGAACGTTTCCAGGAGACCTTTTTAATGCTTATCAGTTTTATTTGTTTTAAATATCATTCGTTACGTCAAGGAAAACAGTTTGATTATGTTGTATAGAGTTCATGTGACTGGGAAATAATAACAGGAAATCTGTCATCTATTATTTCACTTATATTGCCATTAGGATCGGTGACCTTTCAATTACCAATTGACATAGTGATCTACTAATAATAACTAGAACTTTAACACTAATTGACTCTCAAGCTTCTCCTAACCCGATGACCGATCAGAGGACGAAGATGAAAAATAGAACAGTTCTCCATTTCACTGGAATTAATCAAGACCGATACAATAATACGCCTGAAATTTCCTACCAAATAGAAAATTACAATGTGTAATTAAATTGATTACAAGTTATACAGGACGAAAGTAATAGGGAAGTAATCAGCAAATGACAAATCTCCAATAATAAAACCTATGACATCAATTTATGGATGAAATGAAACTTTAGAAATAGGAGCTTCGTTTAACGGTGTTACAGATGTCTATTTTGTCACTGACTGTTTCCAGATGGACATCATATTAAGGTTTTGATATGAAATAATTGCTTGTTACTTTTCATTTCTTACTGTACAGGCAAATGAGAAGCTGAATGATGAATGCAATTCTGTAGATTTAAATTCAAATGCCAACAAACCTCAAATGTTCATTCGTACAGAGTGTGTCGGATTTCCTGCTGTAATATTAAATAAATCAACCGGCGAGTTTGAAATATCTTTATTTGGTAAAAGTCAGTTTTCATCAACATTTCACTTCACTCCGAAAGGTCATCACATATTACAGGTAAGAAATATTATTAGGCAAATAAAATTTCATCTTCAGAAATAAGAGCCAATCATAGAAATATATGTGTACTTATAAATATTAAAGTTGAGTTTATTTGATTAGATAGATCGTCCTGTTATGATACTACTTAGGGATGTCTAGTTGAAGGGGTTTCTCTTTATATTGAAACTAAATACATGACTTAAATACGTGGTTCCTTTGTATACGTGTTGTTTTCAAGTAATTTAGACTTTGTCTTTATGTAATATCATTGCCATTACTTTTATTTTCGGATTACAATTTATTGAGCATCGGAGGATGTTTTAATTCTTGAAAAACAAGAGGGTATAAGCTCTAAAATTCAATTCAAGAGATCAAATTTTCTATTATAGTTCGGATATTAAGCTTGTTGCTAATCTATATAGGTTATTTACACTTAATCACTTTACACTTAATGACTAAATATTGCTAGATGAGTAATAAGTCCTGATAAAACTGTCACTAGACGAAATTTCTATAATCGTTTCTTTTTTAGTAATGATACCAAGCCTTCAGAGTTCCTTGATAGCAATCGTCAAAAAACCATCAGTGTTTTGAATATCAAAAATATGGTCACGCTTGTTATAAGTATTTATAATATTGGTGATCAAAGCATATGGGTGAAAATCACTTGTTTCAGGTCCGCATATCGATCGATAGTTAAAGATTTTTCGTGATCTAACTTACAACCAATCATAATGTTATAAATGCATTTGTTTTTTATCTTCCCCTAAATCTTGATCAATAATATTACGTATTCTATTCTTGAACCAGATTCTCTAGTACTTTTAACATTTTAGTACTGCAAGTACAGATATTTTAATTCTTTCGACATTTATCTTAAGAAATTTACCTCAATGTGATGGAATCTATGATTGCTCTAGTTAATATGTATCGGTCGCATGACCAACTTTGGCAATGGATGATTAACTGATGGAATGAAGCTTATGAACTGGTTTACTAAATTAGATAGTTACATTATTTTTAATATCTAAGTTTATTTTGTATGAAATACATTATGAGATAAATGAAAACATTTATCAGTTGATTCAACAATTCCGTTATACATTTTATGATGATGAGATCAATAAACAACAATTTGAAGACGATTTTCACCACAAAATAGCTTCAGTTGGTAAATCGTTGAAAGCCTGGTAGGGCTGAATGATCATTTCTTTGTAGTTTAAACTGCATTCTGCTTCCATCGTCCACATCCTTTTTCTTTAGAAATCCATCTGAAAGCCTGTTTTTGATAGGTGAATTGTTAAGTATTCCCAAAGATGATCCGAACACCAATCCGGTACTACCTACTTTTAGGGATTTCAGAGTTGATTACAATTTGCAATTTAAATTTCTGTTTCAAAAAATCCATTAATAAATAACAGTGACTAAGTTCCGTGATTGTTACATGACTTGTACATATGCGAACTTCGTCTTTAATACAGAGATTAAGGAAATCAATTGGTAACTGAGATGAAGTATGGTTTTTGGTTGATAAACGATTAATTAGGCAATCGGACACACGATTTCAAGACTCAAGAGAGAGAATCGTACCGATGGATCCTGTTGACCATGATTTGACTTAATTATCCTGGGGACACTTTCATATATGTACAAACGGGTCTGATAGGATTTTGATCCGGTCAGATAATAAACAGCCTATTTATTCTCTTTCTCTTCGCTCAATGTTATAATTCTCTCTTTTATTACAACACAGCTACTCCTGTTGCTTAGTATTCTCGGACACCAATTCACTCGAAAAGTCCCCCAAATCAGAACACAGTTGAACAGGAAAACAGATTATATTTCAAATAACAAGGTTAGATGGAAATAAGAGGCACAATAGGGAAAACGTTGGTATATTTATAGTTTTCACATGAGAAGATTTCTAGAGTGTTCACTAAGTATTGACTAACGCTGATTAGATAAGAATTAGCCAATCAGCGTGCGCCAACGCAAGCGTGCTTTGAAAATTATTTAATCCAATCTATGTCCCGCTAACACCCAAGTAGCAGCTTAAGCTCGAATATGGGAAGCGCGTATATCAGTACCAGAATCCGAAGTCCGTTCAACACAACAACAAAATCATAATATAGATAATTCTTCATTATTTTACCGTCGGATAATTGCTAGTTTTAATTTACATTGTAGCATTTCAATGGTGGTCAGTTAAATATAAATCCAGACAGTTCAGTATATTACACTAGCCAATCTCTGGAGATAGTCAATCTCAATGAACCAACTGTTTATGAAATGCGATCTAAAGACATGGAAAGTTTGTTGGAGTGCACTGATCCACACAAAAATGTCTACACAGTTGACAACTGGGCAAATTGTAATGTTCTTTTAACTGGTTAGTATTATAAGAATTTAGTAATTCATCTCATAATAATAAGCTAATGTTTTAAAGTAACACAACCGAAACAACATTTAACTTATTCGACTGTAGCAAACTATTCAGATTATAGTGAGGATAAAACCTAGGCAAGATATGTATTTATTTTGTTTAAGAATTGATATTCAAAAATAACTCAATTTAACACATATTTTACTTTCTGCTGAATTATTTGACATAGAATACTAAACTTCATGCCATTAAACTTTACAGCAAATTGTTGTTTCCTAAAATGTGTTGACACATACTCTCTAAATCGATTCTATACGACAACGTGAGATTTAATGAAGTGTTTTGCACTTCATAATTAATGATAATATGTTGCATTCCCGATATAGACTTTGTGAAATTGGTGTTAAGTCATAGGACCTATGTAGAAATTAGTGATTCTATCCTGGTCCCCAAACTGAAATAAATCAAGGGGAGTCGTTTATATGATCAGTTGGCTGAATTCCAGTTGTTTCAAAAACTTAAGCTAATTCATTAAATTTAAACCATTAGCTTTTTTCGTGAAGTTTCTCATATGACATATGTTATAAATAATTACCCACTACCATATATTTCTACATTCACTTATCTGAAATGAATAGCGACTTTAATTATTTACTATAATTATTTATAATTATCTTTAAGATACAATCATAAGAACTACAATGATTATCAAGCATTATCAATGCATTATCAAGACTTAATTGGTTTAGAGGCAGTCCAATTTCTAACATTAGTTATGTTTTAAAAAAAAACTGGGAAAGGCTAAGTCCTTTTTACAATCAAATGGCTATTAAATGGCTAATACTTTTTATTTTAATATTTTCAGTAGGTAATAAAAAACATACTGTTGATGAAGACTTAAATACTGAAGTCAATCAAATTTATTCAACTGAATTAACAAATGAAAACAATCAACAAATTGAAGATTCCTTTCACACTGTTTTACAGAACAAAGACAATGCTGACAATAATGAAATTAATGAACCTCATAATAATGAAATATCAAATGATGGTTGTTGTTTATATGATGAACACATACCGAGATTATTTTATTTTGATCCAATTAAAAGAATAGCTATTGAACTCATACATCATGAAGAATATAAGTGCTTGCTTCGAAGAGCTCATAATATTCAATCACCTCGTCATCACATAAATAAATTGACAATGGAAGAAAAGTTGATGTATATGAATACGAAAAGTCAAAACACTTCAATATCAGATAGTGATTTTTATGAAGGTTTATACTTAAGAGAACCAATGCAAAATAATCCCAAGGTATTAGTACATTTGTAATTAAACAGTATAGATTTTAAAGTTTTTTATAGCTATTTGAGGTTATTTAATTTGACGAATTATATTCACAATGAACAGATCTTAGAACCATTACTAATATCTTCTACCTGATCGAATCTGATGATCAAAAACTAAAAGTCGTAGACAAATACCATAGTAAACAAATAGGAATTTTAATTCGATGCTTCCAATCTCGTGTTTCTAACCATAGTCATTTAGTAACGGAATTAAACAAACCGTTTGTAGTTGCATTTTCACAGTAATCATATTGTTCCATATTACGTGTCATTGAGAAATTAGATCTACAATAAATCTTTAGAACTCTCAGCCAGTTGGATCGTGATGACATTTTATGAAATTAAACATGTGAATAAAAGAATAAAACATTATTATCATTAGCTTTATTCAATATTATATTTTTGGTGAAACATAGGATTCTCAGCGCAAAGTATTTCAACAACTTTCCTTTTCTTATTTCTTGATCGATCCTGACAATAAATATTGAGTGATTGCCAGTTATGTGTTAGCAGTTCGGGTATTGACATCTGAATAATGTTCGTTCTTTTCAATGCATATTGTCAGCCATCATGATGCCGCTGATTGTACCTTTCCGTAACCTGTACAGCAAAATGTTGTAAACTTTTCATAAACGCGCCCGAATAGATTGTGCGCTCAATAGACATAATTATGTGTTAAAACAAATAAGAATACAGATAACTTGTTGAAATATCTAGATGGCAGGAACAGGTAACCCAGATATTCAAGAAGGCCGCCGACATACTCAAGTATGAATGCTTGTTTCCATTCTGTTTTCAACTTTGACTAATTTCAAATATAAGGTAAAAAATTTATTTCTCATGAATAAAGTTGATAGATCAAATATCATTACCCTTTAGGTCTTCGGCCTGACACTGATGAAGTCAATATCCAACAATGAAACAGGAAAATACTACGTTCAAGAAAATATTATTCCTGAGGGTTTGAGCAGTCGAGATTTCCAGACTATAACACATTCATCAAATTCAAACCCGCATTCAGATATTCGAAAATTAGGTGAAAGAGCCGGCAAAGGTCTAGATATCATTATGCCATCTTTGGAATATCTTGGTTTAAAGCTTCCAGAAACAAACGTCACCCTTCTACCGGCACAAAAAGGCAAATCGATAAAACGCGAGAATCATAAATTTAATGCTTATTGTCAAGCTCTTCATGCGAATGTAAGACGCTTTACTGAATTCCCATTAATTACATCCGAAATTAATCAAAGGTAAGTCTAATTGTAATCAGTTTACATACATGATATCAAAAGCAGTGCGTTATGGCTCCACCCTAGATTATAACCGGTACTTGATTACATGCAAAATAACAAAAAGTTATATATGCTTAGTTTAAAAGCATTATGTTGGATAAATCCTCTCCATATCTTAATGATGAAAATGTCACGCATAGCAGACCAATGAGTGAGATTCCACGTACAGCATTCGTTCGCTTTTATTCAATTTACTTAGTTCCAATTATGGTTTGAACACATATAAGTTATATTAATATAACTAGTTATGTAAATTGTACAACCTGCAATTGCAGCCTGTGCACTGTATCAATTCTCTCAGTGTTGTTCGAATTTTATTTGTAGTTACTAGGTAATATAAATGAGTTTGTGGTCATGCGGTTTAATCAAACTATAACAAAGTACCAAGTTAGCAACCTACCACAAAAAATAATCATGCTAAGTAATTTTTAATGAAAATCTGGCTTTTTGCAAGTATTAGTCTAGTGCTTTCAAAACTATTTGTTTGTCCATCAATTATTTAACATTTTAAAGTAATCGGAGAAAAGAGCATTTCTACATTATGCTAATCTGACTGAATAGCTGTGAATTTTAGAAGGATTTTGCTTGTTTTCATTGTTGAACATTAAACTACTATACAAACATAGTTTTACTATTTTACTTCATCATATGTTATTATTTAATCAGGTTTTTAGGTGTACTATCCGCTTACACAGAATACTACCTCAATCGTTTAAACGAATGGTGCAGTCAGCAACCAACAAGATTATCAGAAATTATGCAATCTGAATTAAGATTGTTCTTGGATCCAATACCAACTGTATCAAGTGTATTATCTAGAAATAAGCAGATATCAGATCCAATTGAAAATGAGAATATAACAGATGTATCCAGTTCCCCTAGTCAACAAACCACTGTCAGTCAAGAAATATCTCAACGTAAGCGTGTGTTAAGAATGAAATCTTGAATTATTTTGTGGACTGTGAGTTAATCAGTAGTTACGAGTAACTAAATATTCCCTCTGACCGCTGACAAATGAATTTTACTTTAATTCTATACATGTTAAATTTTTTGTTATTCGAATCTATATTTCTAAAGTTTATTCACTAACCAACAGGTCCTGGCTTGTACGAGTTATATAAAACTAGCAATATCAACGCTGAACAGTAAGCATTTGCGTGAAAGGGACTAAACGGTAACTGAACTTTAATACTCCCACGACACTGTTACTAAGCTTCTTTTAAAGTATTTAAAGTAAAACATTTACTATGAACTTACTACCCATTTAATAGCTAGTATGGATAAATGGACGAAGTGTATTCATCACTCTGAATTCTTCCATTAGTTTCAGCGGTAGAGTCTTTACGAATGTTATCACTTTTTGATTCAATATATTTTTTAAATGATACTTACAATAAAAAAGATTGTTTCAATTATTCGTTCATAATATTATTTGATTTTTACAATAAAAAAATATAATTTTCAACTACGTATCAAAACCACACTCATTTTATGTTCACTTCAATACAAAAAATAATCCATATGTAAATGTTAAACTGTTGTTCATTCTACATAACTATTTCTATTATTATCAATTGTGACCCATGTATGTGTTACGTGATAATTCATAAAACTAATTTGACCAACATTTAAAAAAGAGAAAAATCAAAGTGAAATAATGAATTACTTCTTTTTCTAAAGTTAAATACAAATAAAACAATTTAACCGCTAAAAACTAGATAAATAAAGATGTAGGAAATACTGAGTAACCTTATTTTTATACAAAGAGAATTAATCAAATCAAACTTTGATAATATGGAAATGATAATCTATAAAAAAAAGTCTTTAGGTCATTATTATTGTTCTTTGCTTTCAAATAATAAACTAAAGAAAACGATGACAATATTTTTTAGCATTAAATTCAATACAATCTTTATTCATACACATCTATCTGTGTATATCTGTTTGTATGCATATATATGTATGTATACCTTAAAAGACATTGTATATTAAGATATACATAAGGTGAAAAAGTTTGGATATCTATCTTTCAAAAGACATATATTACAAATAGATCTTTCATTGATGTTTAGAAGTTTAGATATTCTGTGAGTTTTAATGAAGTATGATGGGTCTATCATAAAATTCAGTGTTAAGGATAGACTTCTGATGATAAACTTAAGATAAGGAAGTTATTGATTCCACGTATCAGACGGAAGAATTTCTCACAGTGCTTATTAATTCAATAATAATGCTAATTAAGTTCATACTGATTCATTGAAGGATAATATATATATATATATATATATATAACAGTTTTGTTCAGATTAGGAAATCATTACTAAAATGTATTCATTCAAAACAACGAAACAGTTTTTTTTCTTTCTAAGCAGTCATATCATGTAATTGTATACATATAATTCAAGTTAAGCGTTTCTTTTCTTTTATCTATGAGAATAACCGTATATTGTCTTACACCATTCAAAATGAATTGGTAATGTGTTGCATTCAATGTAAAAACTAGGTATATTTCAGAATGTTTATCTGCAGCAACCTTAAGAATAGGACAATATTTATCCTTACAATTCAAAAGGAATTTTCTTGAACTGTTTAAAATTAGAATGTTACAAATAATTAACATCACGTTGTACGTATATATAAGAAATGCGAAATAAATAACAATTGAGCTTTGTTAGATATATTTCACGTCATAGTATGGTAACTATCATAAATTGGGCAAAACTGATCTTCACATATCTTTTCATTTAATATTTATTAGGTACAAAAGCTCATCTATGTTTATACAAACAGATAGCATATGCTTGAGCTAAAGGACTTGCTCCATCGATGTTGCCACAGTTAACAAATAGATGAAATAAAAAGATTGTACAACAAAATGTTTTCATCAATCAACAGGAAAATTTGTATAGTTATGACAAATATGTTACTTTTTGGGGGGTAGAGAGGTGTTTTTAAAACTTAGAGACAGAAGTTTGATGTGAAGCACTTAGTGTTGGTTATTAAAGGTGTTAACAAAAACACATAAGATGTTTGTAATTTGATATTGATTTAAAATAAGTTATTATTTTTTTCCTCCAAATTAACTCATCTACTTGCTGAGCAACTATTCTTTTTCTCATATATATTGTAGCAACTAACAAATATTCGCCAGCTAGACAAGAAGCATTCAAACTATTACGTCAAGAGATTGAGAAAGCAATGAGAGATAGAGCAGCACTTAGGAGTACTCATACACCTAACTACTTTCGGTCACAGGAAGGAATCGGATTTTTGCTGTCACAAGTAAGTTTCACACAAATATTACTGACATAGCCTTTCAGTTTTGTGATCAAAATGGCATTGGTTGTCAAATGTAGGTTACGTAATAACTTGTGATAGTCATTTAAATAAGTTCTTAAATTTTTCACTAACACTATTAGAAACTCTAACTCAGACAGGGAGTCGTAAATGTTCAATAGTCAGATATTACCAGCATACTGCAAAGCTGTCAGATGATTTCTAAATTTCCTTAGGCTAACCAGGGTCATTTGATAAATTCAATAATAATCAAAAATTACTGTCCAACTATCTTCCTGTCTTCTGTCGGTTCCTTGACTTAATAGGATGCAGAATGCAACTCCTATTTGTTGTCATTAACATATATGGTAAAATTCCTAAATGAAGTATGGGTGGAATATTCTGTTGAACTGACTGCTGTAAAAATGTAGACTACTGCATTTTGGAAAACAAGTTTAAAGTTGCACCGTTAGCCACAGAGTTCAATGGTTCTAGGCTCAACTGCTTGATATCTCAAGTGAGCACTAATATAGAGTCCTAGACTAGGACGAAACAACCTTTATGTTTTCTGATTTCCGGTAGTTATTTATTTGAGTCGAAATATGGTGCACATAATTTTTTTAAAAAATTTAGTTTGAAATACAAAACAACCTTTATTTCTAGATCCCCGATGTGAAAAAATTGTCTAAATTAGTGCCAGAATTAAGTAATCTACCAAGTCGAAATCCCAAACAAAATGATAAATCAAGTAAGTAATATGAATATTATAATTTCATAATTTCATAAACTTACGTTTCATTGATCTTGCGTTAAAAGATTATATTCTGTTAATGGTATGAGCTGATTCACTACAATTATACAAAATGTAGTACATTTATTGACCTAATGAAATACCTTAAAAATCATACTATGTTTTATCCATTCATTAATAAAAACTGGTAGATTCAGTCTATGCATAATTTTTATGATTGACGGATTCCACTGAAATAATTTCGGTGACCAATAAAGATTAATTCGCTACGTTTAGGACTTGTAATAGGTTGGAAAAACAACATACTCCTTGAGTCATTTGCTGAGTATTCATTATTCCTCTGGTGGAAAGCTATTTAAATTCATTTTATACCATATAAAAAGACTTATTATTTTTAAGAATATGCTGTGAGATTTGCATGTTAAATTAGCTGCCAGTAACCTGCGTTTTCATTGGTTGGACAGAAAAGTGATATCTTCAACACGTCAAATAACAAACAGTGAATTCTAGCTTTTGGTTGAAGTACTTCAAGAAATTCACGAACATATATTATTTATTAGACTGTCCTCAGCGATTGAGTAGAGAATTCGCTCTTCTTTCTATTTGGGACTTGTAAGCTGAATGTTCCTGCCTCCTAGTTTTGATACTTACATTGAGACCCAGAATAAGTACTTCTTTCCCTAAACGTCAACTTGCCATCACTTAAGCTGCTGATTCCAAGTAAACACAAGCGTATTCAGAAAGGTATAGGAATTATTATTCAGGTATTGATTAAGCAGGCGCATCTAAATGATAAATATCAAGTACAACGAAACACCAGTTCTGAATTTTGTTGCTGATCTCAAAATAAAAAGAATAAAATTTACAACTATAGACAATGTCAATGGATTTCTTCATGGTCGATATGTGTCGACAAGGACTGATCAAAACATATTCCTGAATACCTGTAGCCATAATCACATGCCTTCGAGAATAGTAAAACGTTTTGTCCAAAAACTTTTATGTTGAATGTTTTAAAGTACTCGACTGAGGTCGGTGATTCTGCGGTTGTTATTGCTACTACAAGATAACTAAATAATGACCATAACATTAATCTGTATTCAAATACCAAACTTCCTGAAATACTAAATACTGAGTGAGGTGATATAAATTACCATTCAATGAAAGTTTAGCGATTTTTATTTCAAGTATGCTACCTCCCTCATTGTGTTTAATTAGTAGAATCCATTTTTAAAAAATATGTAAATAGTGGATTCAAAATCCTTAAACACCAGTTCCCTCAAGATTACAGGTACACCTTGCTGACGAGTGCCAAGTAGCACGAAACACGGGTCCAGGGTTTCCTGTTGACTACCTCCAACCATCATCTAATCTCAATACATAGTGCCCGCAGTGTCGAGTCACCTAGACTGGTGGCCACATTGCAACATGATCGATAGCATTCGATCTGCACTAATAAGGACTAGACAAGCATGACATTGATCACCACCCAGTGATCAATCAATTGTGAATACATATACATTTAATATACTAAGAAGTGTCGTACTACATTTTTTACAATAGATATTTCTCCGATTCTTTTTTCTTGTTATTCAACTGAAATAATCACCGATTTGAAACTCAATATGATTATTTTAAACTTAAATTTGTTCGATACTTCCAATATTTTTTTTATTATTTATTTATATATTATTAGCCTTAACAGAACAATCGACTCTAATTCTTAGTGATTCTCCACCAAATATACCTAGTCCATTATTAAGAACAATAGAGAATGATAATGAGTTGGTCACGGAGAAAATAACAGGAAATACAAATAATGGCCATTTAACTATGAATAAACTTATCTATAATGACGGTTATAAAACTGGAATCAAAATGTCAACTAGAGAAACAACAAAAAAATGTTTTTATTATTATGATATTGACCCGTCGCAACTTAAAATAATTGGTAAGTGAAGCAATTATATATATATATATATATATATATATATGTTCATGTATAATGTATTTAATCAAGGATACTTGTATAAACCAAATTCATGAGTACAATTAAAAATCAATAATTATTTTCCTAATCTCTTCTCTCTGTAATCAATAACAAAATCTCTATCTCATGATTGAATAAACAAACCTAATTAGTATATTTTAAAATAAAAATGGCCTAATTAGTTTAAATAATTCGTTTGTGTAAATTAAACATTCACAGAATTTCTTTATTAAATAAAAAACTACATTGATATTGTTTACCGTACTGTTGTTGTTCATCATCATTTGAAGATATATTGTGACTTTATTGAGGATTTAAGTATTACGATGATAATGTAGATAGATGATATATATAAAAATATAATACATTACTTTATAATACCAAAATAAAGTAATTTCTTAATTGTATTCAAGCTATAATTGATTTTTGAAAACAAAAAACAGTCATGTTCTCTTCAGTAATCGATTAGCATCAACTGATATGAGTTCACCAAAGATTAGCTTATATATAAGGGACTCATCTTAATTGAACAATTACTGAAAGCCAGGAATTACTGAACAACGTCTTTGTCTCAGTATGAAATTGAATTTTAAAATAAGGACTATCACATCCAAAACTAGTGATCTGAAAGTAGTGCTATGAAGCCGAGATTTGATTACCTTCGGCTTGATTCCTTGTAGAATCGTAAGTACAAATTTCTGAAGAGATTCAATAATGTAATGAACGAGTTTCAGTAATTTTCTTGCTTAAATCAATTCATCATATAAGCTATATTAATGATTATTAGAATTATTAGTTCCGATGTTAACTTATAGATTTCAGAACTATCGGAGTATTTCACTTCACGATAGTATTAACTCTATAATGTTTTCAAAATGGTGTTAATTATCTCTGACTAAAATGAGAACATTATTACGGACACGTTAGAAGGATTTGTTGTTCTAATTGACTTCTGAATGAGGGTTAATATTAAATTATATGAATGGTGTATGATAAATACGAAGCTAGTTGTGAAACAATAAAAATATGTAAGAATTTTTATGATAACTGGATAACCATATTTAAAGGAAATTGTAGGTGAGAAAGCTGAATCGTGTAGCGTATTCACAGGTTTTCAGTACATATATAGCTTAGATAAATCTAGTTATTAAAATGATGGGATTGACTGAGGATGTAAGTTGGAAGTCATTCAATAATAAATCCTTCAGGTCTGGTGAAAATATTCTGTCATTATTGAAGTATGTAATATGTTCATAATGTACCCAGTTATTATATTTTTTATTATGAACTAATTTGATTTAAACTCCTTTTAGCAGTATAGAAACAGTGAATAGTAAGGCCACATTTGTTACATAATGAAGGATAAAAAGTGTTAGACTTGATGCGTACTCAAAACTGTGTTGCCATAATCTTTCTCATGTACTACTTGGCACATTACGCTATGTTACAATTATAATTTCCCATTTTTCGCGATTAAAACTCTTCAAAAATGATATAGAAGAACGATGTATTTTTATTTATTACCTGAAGACAATCACAGTACTCATGTGCCTTTGGATGCTGTCGCCTTGGCTAAACAAAAGCAACTTCGAGTGCCAAAGTATTTATATGCTAAAAGACCCAGTTTGCCTAAATGCAATAACGGGGTAAATGGAATTAGCCATGCCACAAATTTCAATGTAAAACAAGCACTTATTGAAGATCCTGTACGTCGTCGAGCCTTATTTACAAGTATTATTGGCGGTCCACCGTTTGGTCAATTTTCACTTAGACGAATGCGTGGTTTACGTCTAACACCAAGTCGCATTAATGTTGGTGTGCTACCATACGGTGCAACCCGTAGTTTTTCAGTGAAATTAGTAAATTGGGGTCCGGAAACAGCATATTTTAAAATTAAACAACTACCAATTCAAAGTGGAATACGTGTTTTTTATACTCCGGGACCAATTCCAGCAGGTAAGTTTCCATGCCTGATAATCAATCTTTTATGTATCCATTTAACCGACAAACAGATCATACTTCAGATCATGTTGCGTAATTTAGAAATTTCTTCATATTTTCTACTCCATTTCACTTTTATTGACTCGTTTTTCAATAACTCTGTAAAACTGATTAAATCTTACTTTTATAGAAGTGTCTTCAAATAAATCGTCTTCACATTTATATCTTTTTATTCCCATTTTACAATATTTTATCTGAAAGAATAAGTGGACTAATTATTTATAATCAGCTTATTAAAATTAATTTCCCTCGTTTCAGTTTCAAGAACATTTTATTTCGCGTATACAAAACATCGTGAATATACCCGAAATCTCTGCTTGATTATGTAACTGAGCTTTAAATTCTTTGATTGTTCTGTATCTAAGTCTTTCTCACTATTGAATTACATGAGATTATTTTTGACTAAAATTGAAACTTTGGTTTTTTTCGAATAGTAACTTTGCAAGCATGAACAGATATATTTTAAAGTCTTATAATAATATATTTCTACAGCACTCATTGCCATATTTATCTACTGAGACAATTACATAAACGGTCCCTGACCGGAAAGAAGGCGAGATTTGAGACTTAAAATACTACTGACCATATATAAATAACAAACCTTGTCTTGATACTTATGTCAGTTATATCTAAACTTATTATCCCAAAATATTTTTTATTTTTAATAGGCTTATCTCGTCGATTAGCAATTGAAGTATCGAATCAACATCAGGACCGACTGGAAAGCTACCCATCTAATCAACAGATTGATGACCGAGGACTACAACAGACAGCAAACCATGATGCACCGAAGAAATCCTGCCATTCAAATATAAAATGGGATATCGATAAATATAATGAAGAGAATTTAAAAGATATTGAAAATGATGACTATAACATTGACAATGACGAATTGAAAGAGAAATTAAGTATAGACGATAAAATCATCACCTTCTCGGAACATCTTGAAATAACTACTGACACACATATATTGTATTTGTTAATAACAGGTGGCCGAATTGAAAATTATAGTTCAGTACAGTCTTCAATGCTTAATGCTAGTGAAGATATCATCAAACCGAGGTTTATTCAACCTCTCATGTCGTAGAAGAAAACAAGAATACTACGATTAAAAACACTGGGCAAAGACTTTTTTATAATTTACTAATTAGGAATCAATTTATTGAATAAAATTATATTCTGGACGAAATACTTATGTCTTCTATACATTGAGTAGTAAGAATTCGATAGATATGTAACTTGGTACAATCTGAAATTCTATTGCAATGACCCAAATATTATAAGTAAAAATTATACGTGAAATAATTTCAGCGACTGAAATACAAATAATTCCAACGTTTCATCTGGCAATCAATAAAAGTATTTTTGATAATTTTGACTGTTTCCCTTAAGAAGTTAGACCATTTTGATGGATAAAAAATTTCTGTCACTGAAATTATTTCAAATATAATTTTTACATATAATATCTTGTATGTACTCACCTTAACTATCTTTCGAACTGAATATTCAAACTTCAACAAATCTTTATACAAATGATTCAAATGTTTTCATTTATTTTTCAATTCATTTGAAAATTATTGTCATAAGTTATAAAATAGTTGTACTGAACCCCAGATCATTTTAATATGGATAGATAGATAATATAACTTGTTTCGATAACTATAAAGACTCCTTACTGAATATTCTCTTAACTTCTGTAACTAAATTTGAAAATCCTTATTTAACATGGTTCTAAGTTATAATTCATTAGAATAACAGTTGAACTAATTGTATCTGCTTGTAAAAAAATTTTCAGTATTTTCTGATCGTTGCCTTAGATCAGAACAAGACAACACATTTTGAAAGGGTAAAATCTTAAACCAATATATCTCTCAGTATAGAGTTGTGAAGATTGTTGAATTTAGACTGATATCATGAACGGATCAATGTTAGGCCACCATTGAAAAACCGCAAGCACTGAACGGTTGTTTTGTCATAGTATGGGACTCCTCAGAAGTGGGCATCCACGATTTCGAACACGGAGCTCGAACCAAGGACCTTCGGTCTCGCGCTCGAACGCTAGTGCCTAGCTTCAAAATGGATTTCTCGAAGTTCTAGTGAGGAGCCGTGACCAGTTGAATTCAACCGTGCCTGTTGTGAGGCAATTACTCACTGAAGACAATGGTGGATGGTAGCGTAATATCGTGGATTGGTTGAAGTTGGACATTAACATCACTGGATGCCGGCTCATTGGTCTAGAGGTTAGGCGTTCGCGCACGAAACTGAAGGTCCTGGGTCCGAGATGCGGGATCGTGTGTGCGCCCTGCCGAGGAGTCCCGTACTAGGACAAAACGATCGTCTACTGCTTCCAGGTATTCAATGGTGGTCTAACACTGATCCATTCATGATATTAATATGTTTCTATTTCGAGCCTGATTGGTTCGGTAGTAAATTACAGCTGTTTGATCCAATTAATAAAGACAAGATTTAACAAACTATATTAATGTTATTCCTGATGTACGTCCACCCAACTCGTATAATATTGAAATTCGAAGCTCTTGTTCTCATGAACATATATTGGTGTGCATTATACCAAGTACGGCTGTTGTAAATTTACTTATATATATATATATATACATAAATTCAAACTAAAGCGTCAGTGGAAACACCGTATCATATTTTCAGAAATAACTTCCTGAATATACACAAAAAACCTGGAGATTAATAATAAAATTTTATAATTATTTCTATAAGTCTACAGAATCATATATCAATGAATATCCTGGAACCAAATGTAACTGTCAACGAATATTGTTTGTCAAAACATAAGTTTGAATTTTGGACTTCAAGTTTTGCTTTAATTCGAGGTTTATGTCACGTGTTAACGATGGTGCTGATTAGTTAAATAGCACTTGATGTATTGTTTTGTTATTAAAGAAATTCGTGTAAACGAATCAGTTTGAGCATCTCTGTATTACAAATTTCCCTGTACTTCACTTACTCAAAATATCTTAAGAAATGCTAGAAATTTAAAGTAGAATTTAACTATTTTGACGAAGTGTAACAGTTTTGCTCTTCACTGTGAAAGCTTAACTGTTGGGGACGATAGATCCCCAAAACTCAAATTTTGTAATTTACTTATCGATTAAATGTGCAAATAGGTCAATTGATGAACTATCGATTAAACGTACAAATAGGTCAATTGATGAACTATCGATTAAATGTTCAAATAGCAATCAATTGTTGATTAATGTTCAAAAATCTTCCATGACAATATCGATTGTAAATATTTGTATAAATACGCTTGATTTGTGTGCTTGACTTGACTTGTTATCTGCTGTTGTCTGTAGAATACACTTTCTACACCTTACCCAGACTTTTTGATCGAGTTAGCAGAATTGGGGACAACGGACCGGAATAGCTATCGACTCGCTGAATCATTGATCCTTCGTTCGTTCGAGTAAGACGCATCAGTAATCGCATTCAAGCAATAACAAAACATAACATTAACAAAGTGATTTTCTCGAGGGGAAGCCAATTAAAAATGACTCTGTATTTAGTCTTCTGTTGATTTTATAAATTATGAAATTTCTTTCATCATTTTAACATTAGTTTTACCAATTTTCAAAAATAATCCATTTATCATGAAATCCCTAAGATTATTAAGTCGGGCAAAAATTATAAATTTATTACTGAGAATTTTAAACAAGTAGTGTAAAATAACTATTTTAAAGTAACAGACATATCACCGTTTAGCTCCATGTTATTTTACGGCTGTATAAATATTCTCTTTCTATATCTAAAAATTATTATCAACTCCAAACAAATGTGATAAGCGTCTGAAGATGTATCAATCCTACTGACCTCTCCTAGATTTTACACTCATCATTAAAGATCAATAGATAAAAGCTATTCTATTGGTGAATTGTTCTGATAACAATTTATCCATTAAGAAACTGAATCATTTAAAAAGGCTACGGTTTCATAATTCAGAATTGATTGAATTTTTTCAACTAACAGTTAAAAACTGGATAGCAGTTATTTTACATGATCAAAATATGTCTTATTTGGTATAAGTTAATTGAATGATGATCAGTAAAAATAATTCATGTCTTCATTTGGTACATCTGTTCCTACGCTCAAAACAGATATGTCTGCTATGGTGTGTGCTACTGATATCAACATATATAAGTAGTATGTATCACCAATCGAAAGTTGAATACCTAACAACAGAAAGTTGAGAAGATCGAAGAGGAAAGAACGAGAACAGAGAGTGATTGATACGGAAATGAAAGAATAATAAAGTCTGAGACAATTGATGAATATTTCACAAATGAATTATTACTGTATGGATTTCAGATTTTACTAAGAGATTCTATAACTTTGTATTCAAGCGCATTTGCTTGTCCCCACTTATGTTCTTGTTCACTGCATTCCTACCCAGTTGAAAACGATGTTTATTATTGTATTATATAAAGAAATGACCTTGTTTTCTTATGTATACAATAGATACTGACTGTTAAGATGAATTAATTGTTTTCTCGCAAAATGTATTATCTAATAGAGGATAATATATTAGGGTGGTTGATTCACATTTATTTGGATACATAAAGAAAGCAAATGGTTAATTGTTTTTCTAAATACAAAATAGAAAAACTTATTGTACGTAAACTGAGGAAAAGTAAGAAAACTTATAAGAATTGTTAACAACGTTAATCATACAAATTAATGGGCAAATAAATTTCAGTTTGTGCGGGGAAAGTAAATAGAAATGTTTTATTTTATATTTAAAAAGAATCCATTGTTTACTTTACTCTAAAAGTTAAAACAAAAAGTAAATAATTAATCAATATTCAATAATTGACATTTTAAACAGTACAGATTATACGAAATAAGTCAATCCAAATTATTATATGCATTTACATTTTCAATAATTTTTTCAAAAAAGAAAAATTACATTATCGTAAAAATTAAAATAACAATGGTCAGTCAGTTATGATTATGCCGAAAATCGATAAACATTTTGTTAAGGTCAATGAAATGTTCTTTATTATATAGTTAAGTAGTAGTATAATTTAAAACTAATACTGACCTGGGTAATCCATTTTTACAACAACATTTGTTCATAAATCAACGAGATGACCATATGTAAGTAAAAAGAAACAGTGTTATGTACCTAATTTAGAAATTATATTGACTGTTCTGTATAAGGACATAATACTTAATTGACAGAAAATGATATGGAAATAAAACTTTAATGACATTGTTTTCATTTGTGACTTCTACTTGAATAGCCGTCTTAGGAGAATTTGGTTAACACAATTTGATCAGTTGAACGTCATCTGTCTAATATGGTTAAGTATTTGATACTCACTGAATTTTATTGATCAAGATATAGAATGGTTAGTGGGTTATTTGAAAAACCATTATGTTTACTTGAGCTAAGTTGCAACTCTCCTCATTTTTACAATAGGTCAGATGCGTTTACATCAAACGGTAAGCAATAGCTCAGCAAAGATTTCAGATCCATCTTACCGATTAATACCAAGAAGTGAAAAGATTGAGTTCAAAGATCTTTGCTACTCAACATTGCTTTAAAAACTACTAGCTAGAAGTTATTAACTTGCCTATAATTGGTTCTCTAGCACAATATGGTTACAGCATTCGACCTCCGGAGGTGTAAGTATAAATTGAACTTTTGACTATAACAAGACACAACACATAATACTTACATACATATACGATTATTACTATTATTATTATTATTTGATGGGTTTTGTGGATATCATAGTAATTTCAATGGATTGAGTCCCGCAATAGGACGAAACGGCCGTCCAGTGCTTCTAGGTTTTCCATGGTGGTCTAGCTTCAACTGACTGATGATCTTAACCATTGAAATTATTAATATTTGTTTCAACTGTTTTTCTATAAAACAAATTGCTTTATGATAGAAATAATAATACTGGGTATAACAATAACATTGTAGGTTTCCATAAATAAAATACTAATTCAATCTCAAACATTCCATTCTTTTTTCCATTTTATACTATCAACATATTATCATGTAATGTTTTGAAATGATTCGTATGTGATTTTACTCTACTTAGC